CAATACCCTGATCCAGTTACTCATCTCCAGCATAGCCTGAGAGGTACTGCCCTGAGATGGAGATGTGATGGTCTGGAGAACCCAATTTACTCCACCTTGCTTTCTGCCCAGGTGAACCTTTCACCCCAACAACTTTCACCCCAACAACTGTGTCACACAGAGGCCTTACTACAGACAGATAGGGAAAGATGCACAGCAACTGAAGGCACTGATTTGCAAGAGCAGGCAAGTGACAAAGTAGGAACATCAATGGCCATCTGTGGGTGTCAAAGTCTGGTGAGAAACCCCAAGTGACCCAGAGAAGACACACCAAGGATTCAGGGGGAACATCAACCTGGAAGTAAAGCAGGTATCAAAAGCAGTGGTACCACTCCAAAACACTACTGGATGCTACCTATATTGTGTAATCTGCAGTGCACATTCCTTTAAGCCTATTACAGGGAAACCCAGCTGATCCCCAAACCATCTAAAACACAGACATGTGCTTTTCACCTTAAGAACAAATCAAGAACTTTGGCCCAAAAGCAAAGTGCTGGCTACTGGAGCTGATGAACAACTGCACTGCATCCTGTCAGATCCCCAAAATCTGGAGGAAAGAAAGAGTAATCGCCATCTTGAAGCCAGGCAAAGACAGTAATGATCCAAAAAGCTACAGACCAATCTCCCTGTTGTGCCACCTCTACAAAGTTCTGGAGAGACTTATTCTGCATAGAATTACGGAAAAAAATAGACCCATGTCTGATTCCACAGCAAGCTGGCTTCAGGAAAGGCAAAAGCTGCACATCGCAAGTGCTGAACCTGACTCAGCACATAGAAGATGGCTTTGAAAAGCAGCAGATCACAGGAGCTGTCTTCATAGACCTGTCCACAGCCTATGAGACTGTGAACCACCACTGCCTCCTCCTGAGAAAAATGTATAATATCACAAAGGATGACCATCTCACCCGTCTCATAGGAAACCTGCTACAAAACAGAAGCTTTTTTGTTGAGTTAAAGGGCCAGAGAAACAGATGGCGGAAACAGAAGAACGGCCTGCCTCAGGGGAGCGTGCTCGCTCCATCCATGTTCAACATCTACACAAATGACCAGCCACTGCCAGACGGGACAGAGAGTTTCATCTATGCTGATGATCGTGCCATTACTGCTCAAGCAGGGAGCTTTGAGATGGTAGAACAGAAGCTCTCCGAAAGCTCTAGGTGCTCTTACTGCCTCTTACAGGGAAAACCAGCTGATCCCTAACTCATTAAAAACACAGACATGTGCTTTTCACCTTAAGAACAGACAAGCATCTCGAGCTCTGAAGATCACCTGGGAAGGAATCCCATTGGAGCATTGCAGCACACCCAAATACCTGGGAGTCACTCTGGACCGTGCTCTGACCTACAAGAAGCACTGCCTGAACATCAAGCAAAAAGTGGGTGCTAGAAACAATATCATACGAAAGCTGACTGGCACAACCTGGGGATCACAACCAGACACAGTGAAGACATCTGCCCTTGCGCCTATGCTACTCTGCTGCTGAGTACGCATGCCCAGTGTGGAACACATCTCACCACGCTAAAACAGTGGATGTGGCTCTTAATGAGACATACCGCATTATCACGGGGTGTCTGCGCCCTACACCACTGGAGAAATTACACTGCTTAGCCGGTATTGCACCACCTGACATCCGCGGGAAGTAGCAGCCAACAGTGAAAGGACCAAGGCAGAGACATCTCCAGCTCATCCCTTGTTTGGGTATCAGCCAGCACATCAATGACTTAAATCAAGAAATCGTTTTCTAAGATCTACAGAGACACTCGCTGGAACACCTCAGCAAGCGAGAGTCCAAAAGTGGCAGGCTCAAACCCAGAACCTCAACCAATGGCTGATACCAAATGAGAGACTCCCCCTGGGCACACAGAAGACTGGGCGACTTGGAAGGCGCTGAACAGACTGCGCTCTGGCACCACGAGATGCAGAGCCAACCTTAAGAAATGGGGCCACAAAGTGGGATCCACGACATGCGAGTGTGGAGAAGAGCAAACCACAGACCACCTGCTGCAATGCAACCTGAGCCCTGCCACATGCACAATGGAGGACCTTCTTGCAGCAACACCAGAGGCACTCCAAGTGGCCAGCTACTGGTCAAAGGACATTTAATCAACTACCAAGCTTGCAAACTTTGTGTTTTGTCTGTTTGTTGTTTGTTTTGTTAAAAATATAATACAACTGTCTGGTTGCTCCTGACACGATAAATAAATAAGTAAACTTCCTTTTAAGTGCACATTGCAGATATTTCATTTTTTACCTGTTGGGTATATCCAATTCCCCACATTTTTATGGGCTGGAGGAACCCACTGGCTCCAATAGCTTCCTTGCTTCGAGATAACTTTCTAAGCTTCAATTTTCTCACTCCACAACTACCCAACCCTCACCAAGTGATCTGCAAGGCTGCCAATTATTTTATTATTATTTTATTTGCTGTATTTGTATACCGCCTTTCTCAGCCACTCGGCGACTCAAGGCGGTTTCCAACAAAACAGCACAAATAATATCATAAGACAAGTTAAAACATTAAAACAGTATAAAACAACAACAATAACATCATTAGCATCTCCTTATTATCAAGCATTGTCCAATTCCATCGTCAAGTCATTCAGTTTCCTATGTCGTTTACTCTGCATTTGTGAACGCTTGCTCAAACAACCATGTTTTACTGGGTTGTTGTAGGTTTTCTCAGGCTATATGGCCATGTTCTAGAAGCATTCTGTCCTGACGTTTCGCCTGCATCTATGGCAAGCTTCCTCAGAAGTAGTGAGGTCTATTTGAATTAGGAAAATGGGTTTATGTATTTGTGGAATGACCAGGGTGGGACAAAGAACTCTGGTCTGTTGGAGCTAGGTGTGAATGTTTCAACTGACCACCTTGATTATCATTTGATGGCCTGGCAGTGCCTGGGGCAATCTTTTGTTGAGAGGTGATTAGATGTGCCTGATTGTTTCCCCTCTGTTGTTTTGCTGTTGTAATTTTAGAGGTTTTTTTTTAAAATACTTTAAAATACTGGTAGTTTTTTAATACTGATAACTCTAAAATTGCAACAAAAGATTGCCCCAGGCACCAACATGCCACACCAAACAACTGCCAGGCCATCAAATGCTAATCAAGGTGGTCAGTTGAATCATTCACACCTAGCTCCAGCAGACAAGAGTTCTTTGTCCCACCCTGGTCATTCCACAGATATATAAATCCACTTTCCTAGTTCCAACAGACCTCACTACCTTTGAGGATGCTTGCCATAGATGCAGGCGAAACTTCAGGACAGAATGCCTCTAGAAAATGGCCATATAGCCTGAGAAAACCTACAACAACCCAGTGATTCTGGCCATGAAAGCCTTCGACAACCATGTTTTAACTTCCCTCCGAAACGTTAGTAGGGAGGGAGCCGATCTGATCTCCCTAGGGTGGGTGTTCCATAACTGAGGGGCCACCGCTGAGAAGGCACTGTCTCTCGTCCCCGCCAGACATACTTGTGTCGAAGGTGGGACTGAGAGCAGGGCCTCCCCAGATGATCTCAGGGTCCTTGATGGTTCATAAGGGGAGATGCGTTTGGACAGGTAAGTTGGGCCATGGATCATGCCAAGGGATCATGGGCCTTGCAATCTGGTTGAGGAAATCCACAGAGCTTTACAGGATGCCCCAAAAGCAGGCTCCCATGCAATGGAAGCAAACTTAGTTCTTGTTCCTTGGTCTGAGCAAATGTCTCAATGCTTCGCTCCTCACCTACAGCATCACTGCCTGCCACGGCTCTAGGACCGTCCTTGTGGCCAGATAAATGGAGAGAATTTTCCAAGGGTCAAAGGACCATGTTTTCCTCCCTCATTGACCTCACACAGGGCCTTGCAATCTAGTTGAGGAAATCCACAGAGCCTGACAGGATGGGCCAAACCCAACTACCCCAGAAGCAGACTCCCACGCAATGGAAGGAAACTTACTTCTGGTTCCTTGGTCTGAGCAAATGTCTCAATACTTTGCTCCTCACCTGCAGCATCCCTGCCTGCCACGGCTCTTGGACCATCCTTGTGGCCAGATTGAATGGAGAGAACTTTCCAAGGGCCAAAGCCCATGTTTTCCTCCCTCTTTGACCTCACACAGGGCCTTGCCACCAGGAGCCTCTTCCAGGACAGTCACTCTATATGGAAGTAGAAGCCAGAGTGGTCCCTGCATCCTGATAGTAAGCTTCCTCCATCCCTGTCCATGAGGAGGACGGAGGTTTCTCCGTTCCAGAAGCAGATGTGGGTTTCCCATCCCTGCCAGAAGACCAGGACAAGGGCAGCTCAAGAACAAGCTCCCTCTGAGGCCAGGTTCCAAGTTAGGAACTTTCAAAAGCCACAAGGCAAACCATCAGCATTCTTCCAGATGCCCAGGATCAGAGGATTTCACCCTCATCTCTCAAACAAGGCTACGCAGTGCTCCCAATGCGGCAAAAGACGTGCACGTTTGCCTCTTAAGCGATCACGGATCCCACATTGCACACAGGAGACCCCAGAAATGACACCTGCCAATCTGACAGGTGTGCCTCCCCCCAAGACAAGCAGCCTTTAGAGTAGGGAAGGGGTCCAGACCTCTGGCCGGCACTGGCTTTAGAGTATGAGAAGCAAGGGAAAATGGCTGATCAGGCAGCCTGGAGAGAGATGGGAAGGGGAAGGAGGAAGGGAGTCGGCAACATGCAACTTTTCCAGAGCCTCGCCGGTCGCATCACTGGCCTTCACGCATGCAGCTGAGTTAGATACATATTGCATGCAACAACATGGAAATGAGGAGGAAAGGGAACTCGAACTCGCAACGGCAGGTATCGAAATGCAAGCATGTCGCCTTGGAGTCAAGCATCTCAGGAGCCTCCCCATGCCCCTGGGTGCACATCCCTCCCTGGACAGCTCAGCACTTAAGAGGAAACGATTCTCGACTCTCGGACGAAAAAGCAAGGCAACGGCAACGGCTACAGACCCCTGAGACTGTACCTTCCGTGTGGTTGCGGCCTGTTTCATGGTTGCAGAAGACAGAGACGGAGCAAAGCGGAGAAGAGACAGGCAGGCAGAGAGAAAGAGAAAGACAGGGAGAAAAACAGAGATTGAGCGAGAGGCAGGTGGAAGACTAGACCATCCGGTCACAACAATGCCGCACTCCTCCTCCTCCTCCTCCTCCCCGGCACAGCCTCTCTGGAGCTCTTGCAAATGGCTGCAGCTCTGTCGTCGTCGTCGTCTTTGACCCGAGGATCCAGCGGTGGCTTCTCCTCCTCCTCCTCCTCTTCCGCCTCCTCCTCTTCTGAGGTCCTGGGCGGATCACTGGGGCTTTAGAGCCCGGGAGCATCCCAGCAGCAGCAGCACTGGAGGAGCCGGGGGCCGGCCGCACATCCCTTCCTCCTGGCCCGGAGGCCGCCAACCACCGCCCAGCTGCTCATTACATCACCACTACTCCAACAGCCCCTCCCTTTCTTCTCCAGGCTCCTCCAGGCATGAGGCGGGCCACTCCGGATCCAGGCACTGGCACCGATGCCTGCCTGCTGCACTGAGGATGCCTCTCCTGCTAAAGAGGGGAGAAAGATGCTCTGCTGCTGATGCTGGGGGACCCTCCCGGGGTGGTGCTCCTCTCGTCACTTAGCAACGCCTTCTGTCTGCCTGGCTAATGAGGCGTCTGCTCCTTCCCTTCCTTCCTTCCTTCCTTCCTCCCCTCCCTCCTTTCCTTTCTTCCTTCCCTTTCCTCCCTCCCTCCCTCCCTTCTCTCCTCTCCCTCCCTTTCTTCTTCTCCTTCTCTCCTCTCCTCCCTTCCTTCCTCCCCTTCCTTCCTCCCCTTCCTTCCTCCCCTTCCTTCCTTCCTTCCTTCCTTCCTTCCTTCCTTCCTTCCACCTCCACCCACCTTCCTTCCTTTCTTCCCTCTTTCCCTTCCTCCTCTCCCTCCTTCCTCATTTCCTTCCTTTCTTCCCTCTTTCCTTCCTTCTTAAGCCCTCCCGCCCGAACTCAATAATGCCTGCACGCTCTCTCCATCCTCCATCCTCCTTCTCCTCCCCTCCTCCTTCCTTCCCTCCTTCCTCCCCCCTTCCTTCCTCCTCCCTCCTCCTTCCTTCCTTCCCTCCTTCCTTCCTTCCTTCCCTCCCTCCCACCTTCCTTCCTTCCCTCCTTCCCCTTCCTTCTCCTCCTTCCTTCCTTCCCTCCCTTTTCCTTCCCCCTTCCTTCCTTCCCTCTTCCTTCCTTCCTTCCCTCCCTCCCTCCCTCCTTCCTTCCTTCCTTCCTCTCCTTCCCTTCCTTCCTTCCTTCCTCCTTCCTTCCTTCCTTCCTTTCCTCCTCCCTCCTCCCTTCCTCCTCTCCCTCCCTCCTTCTTCTTCCTTCCTTCCTTCCTTCCTTCCTTCCTTCCCCTTTCCTTCCTCTTCCTTCCTTCCTTCCTTCCTTCTATCCCCCTCTCCCTCCTTCCCTCCCTCTCCTCCCTTCCTTCCTCCTTCCTTCCCCCTCCTCCCTCCTTCCTTCCTTCCCTCCCTCCTTCCTCCTTCCTTTCTCTCCTTCTCCCTCTCCCTCTCCCTCTCCTTCCTCCTCCTTCTCCCTCCTCCTTTTCCTTTCTCCTCCTCCTCCTCCTCCTCCCTTCTCACCTTCCTCCTCTTCTTTCTTCCCTCTTCCTCCCCTTCTTTCCTCCCTTCCTTCCTCCTCCCCTTTTCCTTCCTCCCCTTCCTTCCTCCCCTTCCTTCCTTCTTCTATCCCCTCCCTGCCTCCCTCCTTCCCTCCCTCTCCTCCCTTCCTTTCTTCCCTGCTTCCCTTTCCTCCCTCCCTCCCTCCTTCCTTCCTTCCTCCCTCCCTCCTTCCTTCCTTCTCTCCTCTCCCTCTCCCTTCTTCCTTCCTCTCCCTTCCCCCCTTCCTTCTCTCCTCCCTCCTTTCCCTCCCTTCCCCTTTCTCCCTCCTCCCTCCCTCCCCTCCCTTCCTTCCTTCCTTCTTTTTTCTTCCCCCCTTCCTTCCCTCCTCCCTTCCTTCTCTCCCTTCCCTCCTCCTTCTCCTCCTCCCTCCTTCCTTCCCTCCTCCCTTCCTCCTCCCTCCTCCTCTTCTTCCTTTCCCTCCTTCCCTTCCCTCCCTCCTTCCTTCCTTCCTTCCTTCTCTCCTTCTTTCCTTCTCCCTTCCTTCTTCCCCTCCTCCTTCCTCCCCTCCTTCCTTCTTTCTTCCTCCCTTCCTCCTCCCCTCCTCTTTCTTCTTCCTTCCTTCCTCCTTCCTCCCTTCCTCCTTCCTCCTTCCTTCCTTCCTTCCTTTCCTCCCTTCTCTCCCCCCTCCCTCCCTCCCTTCCTTCCTTCCTAGTTACTGCCTGCAAAGGGTCTCCACCAGGTCTCCTTGTCCAGCAAATAACTTGTCCCCTTCCATAACTCTAGAGCCCCACCACCACTTTGGGGGGGGGGTCCCTCAGGGTCTCCCTTGCAAAGAAGAATAGGAGGAGAGGGAGGTTGATCTGGGCTGGACCCTGGGCAAAGCAAGCAGCTCTCCAATACCATTAAGGGCTTAAGCAACCAGGTTCAGGGCATCCGCTGGCCGTGGTCCTGTGCAGGAGCATAAACACATCCACCCACACAGAACACACACGGTTACAAATTCCACTGCAAAACGGGTAGGTGTCTTCAGGAAGGCAGAGGGGTGCAGCTATTGGGCTGCTTGAATTTGGTCCTCTGTGGATCCTTGACTATTTGGCAGAGGCAGGCTCACAGCCTTCATCCTTCAGACAAAGTCATCACCCTCCACCCCAGAACTGGGCACCATGCTGCTGAAGTGCAGCATCCCAGCATGCCTCCCCATTGGCTACACTTGCTCCAGAGCTGCCCATACTTGGGGACCGGCACATTTCCCACCTGGGGTTTCTGGTGGGAAGGTTGGTGCTGACCATGTGTTGGAATTTACTGAGACCATAACTTTGAATGCGATTTTCCTGCTTCTTGCCAGAATGGGGTTGGACTGGATGGCCCACCAGGTCTCTTCCAACTCTAGGATTCTATAAAAAGACCCTGCATGAAAAGCCTCCCTTCAAAGGGTCGTGTGGGTTCTTGCACTCCAAAAGGAATGCACCCCACATGTGTCATAAAGGTGTCCTTCAGCAACCCAATCTGCAGAAACCCATTTGTTTTGGTCTCATGGGTTGAACTTCACTGAACCATGGAGCGGAGGAAAGAGCTACGCAGAACCCTGATCCGGGTCCATGACAAGGCAGACAAGCGGGAGGTGGGGCTTGGCTGGATTCAGAGCAGTGCTCTCCTTGGCCCTCCTCCCCAAGGGAGACCCCAGCTGCTCGGCCTCAGCTGCGGAGGGGAGAGAGCCAGGAGCCCAGGGAGCATTGAGTAACAGAGCCTGCTCCAGTCATGGGGGGAAGAAAGCCTTGGCTGGGCACTCCTGGCCTCCGGCAAGCCCACCACCCTGTCCGTGCACCATGTTCATGCTCCACACAGGCTTCAGCAAGAGGAACTTCAGCAGCCCTTTCCTCTGCAGCCCAGGGCATCAGACTCCTCCAAGCAGAAAACATTTGGGCTCTTGCTTTTGAAGAAGGGATGAAAAAGGACAGGCAGGCTAGAGGAGCACAACGTTATGATTTTTTTTGTTACGTCAGAAGCAACTTGAGAAACTGCAAGTTGCTTCTGGTGTGAGAGAACTGGCCGTCTGCAGAGACGTTGCTCAGGGGATGCTCGGGTGTGTTACCATCCTGTGGGAGGCTTCTCTCATGTCCCCGCATGGGAAGCTGGAGCTGACAGACGGGAGCTCACCCCTTCTCACAGATTCGAACTGCAGTTCAGCTGGCACAAGGTTTAAATTCATTGTGCCACCATGGCTCATGTTTGCTGCAGCTGAAAAGGTGGACAGAGGAAAGGGTGAGTCTCCTCTGTTGTAGTGCCAAAAACCAAAGGAATCAGTGGCACTGAAGTGGATTCAGGATAGGGGCATGGGGTCAGGCTTCCCCACATTGCCCATAACCTTAAACTTCACCTTTTCCTACTAGCACAAGTCCCAACATTGGCAGCCTTTAGGAAGAGCCTGAAGACCTGGCTGTTCCCGTGTGCCTTTCCAGAATAGGTAACTCCTGGCATCAAGTCCCAAATGCACTTTGTTTAGAGATTTAGGATTATCTGCACATTGCACCCTACCTCCAAATACCTCTACATATCACCTGTCAAGTCCAGCACTTTTAAATTTTGTCTACTACATTTGGCCTTTAGGTTTTAAATGCATCACGGTGTCATTGTTTTTACTGTTCTATTGTTATGCTTGATGTTTTATTATTTGCTTATGAGTTTTATTGTTGTATTTGTATGCTGTTGTTGTTGTGGCCTCGGCCTTTGTAAGCCGCATCGTCCTTCGGGAGATTTTGCGGGGTATAAATAAAGTTAATAATAATCAGGGGTCCTCAAACTTTTTAAACAAAGGGTCAGGTTACAGTCCCTCAAACTGTTGGAGGGTCGGATTCTAATTTGGAGGGGGAAAAAGGATTAATTCCTATGCACACTGCACATATCTCATTTGTGGTGCAAAACCACTTAAAAAGAACACAATAATTAAAATGAAGAACAATTTTAACAAATATAAACTTATTAGTATTTCAATAGGAAGTGTGGGCCTGCTTTTGGCTGATGAGTAGGATTGTTGTTGTTGTTGTTGTTGTTGTTGTGTGCTTTGAAGTCATTTCAGACTTAGGGTGACCCTGAGCGAGGGCCGGGTAAAAGACCTTGGATTTGGCCCCAGTCCTTACTTTGAGGACCACTGCACAAGATGGTACACACCTAGAGAGCCTTAAAGGAGGATCCCACACACCATCAGTGGCTATGAAGGAGGGGACCTGTTTATCATCTCTCCAATTAGGAAGCCATGCGAAGCAGAGAGGAAGTCATGCTCATGCCTTGTAGGAAGGCTGCCCATGGACCCTCTGCACAGGATGTGGAACCAGCGTGTGGTCCAATTTCACACTCCATTGACACTCACTGACTCCCCTGACCTGTGGCCAGGGGCCAAGTCAAAGAAAGGCCTTCCCAGTCTAAGCAAACCTAACACCTTGCGGAGTGGTCTAGCCCCCCAAAGCTCATAAACATGGCACCTGTTTACTTCTAGGCAACCTGTTACCCTATGAACTGAAGCACTTCTGACATTTATCCATGCTGGTTCTGGCCAGTGTATGTTGTACGTAGGCTGCATACACTGCAAGGGCTGTGTATGGGCAAGTGTGTATGTCTTGTATGTTTTGCATTTTTGATATGGTCAAAATTTGACTAATCAATAAAGAATTGTTGTTGTTGCAAGGGCTGTGTGTAGAAAACAGTGGGGGCATTTAGTGTGCAAAGCCCAGAGAGGGGGGTCCCACCCTCAGAGAACAGACTGCCAGCCCCTCCCCAACAGGCGCGCAACCATCCCCTCCGGAGGACAGAGACCAGGCAGATGGCGGGTCAAGCAAAGGGAGGGGGCCAGAACGAGGCCCTTTGCAGGGGTCTCCCACTGGGACCACCGGGGCCATCTGTCACACTGAGAAACGCAGCCGGAGGGAGGGAGCCCGTAACCCGATTAGCGGCTGAGCCTGAACCGCTGGGCTGGACGGGGCTGGAAGGAGCCCCCTAATCTCATCAAACAGGATTTACCTACTGTCACCTTCGGCTCTTCCAGACTGAGCCTTGTTTTTAAAACATACACTGGTCGAGGTTCCTCAGCAGAGCTGGGGCCAAATTCAGCACTTCCGCAAAAACGACAACAGACATTTTGGAGAGCCGATAAAAGAGACCATTTTCCCACATGCAGGAACAGGGGGCAAAGACGCCATGAGACGAGGCCCCAGAAAACATCCTCCCCACTCTTCCCAAGGGGGTGAAGAAGGCGGGTGCAGCAGCACCTTTGTTCCCAAGGAGTTTGGACACGGCGCGGGAAGTCCCCCTGGGAAGGGGGCAGGTGTGACAACGCAGCAGACTCACAAACAAACACGCAAGCCAAGAGATGCCGGCAGGAGCACCGCAGAGGGGACATCGGCACACGCTCTGTGGGACATCACAGATTCCTCCATGTGCCATTACGGTCAGAAGGAGAGGTGGCAGATCCAGGACCAGGGGAGTGCCTCATGCAAAGCACCAAGGTGCCTGGCCCTGGGGGCAAGCGAGAGGGGACCGGCACATGCGGGTCAGGAGGCCTCAGGTGCATGCAGCGGAAGAAACAGAGGGAGGAGCTGTCATCAGAGTCGGGAAAGACCCACAGAGGACTGCCACTTGGTCTGCGAGGCCAAGGCGAGCCATCCACCTCCACCTGGAAGCAACCAACAGGTAGGCTCTCTCTTGTCTATCAGTCCTTTGCTAGAGTAGCCAACAGACCCATGTACAGGGGATGTGACAGAGGAACCACTGGTCCTCTAGGCATGCCCTCTGAACTGGAAGAGCTGGACTCCCATTTTCAGAGCTGCTCATGCTCATTGCATTTCCCCAGCCACCAACAGCTTCACAACTAGAAAATAACATGGTATTGCTGTTTTTCCTGGGACGTACGAATGTATGGAACAGCTTCAGGTGCAGGGAGGGACAAGAAAGGTCATTTGTCTGCAAATATGGCTTCAACTCTAAGAGAATAAGAGGGCAGACCGGAGGAAGGGCCAGCCTCAGGCTCTTCTTGTCAGGCCAATGGGATTTGTCCCATTCTGGGCATTGCACCGGGATTGTGGCACAGCTGGCTGAGTGTCAGCTGCATTAAGATCACTCTGACCAAAAGGTCATGAGTTCGAAGCCAGCCCGGGTTGGAGTGGGTTTCCAACCAATTGTGTAGCCTGTTGTCGACCTTTGCAACCCGAAAGACAGTTGCATCTGTCAAGTAGGAAAATTAGGTACCACCTTAAAGTGTGGGGAGGCTAAATTAACTAATTTATGAGGCCATAAAAAAGACTCCAGCAAAGCACTCCAGCAAAAGCATGCGGGGAATGCGGAAGTACTTCATCAGTGTCGCAGATGGACAATGAAAGCGACAGCTCCCCTGGCGGCCAGAAAAAGTTAAATAGCCCCTGTGTATGTCTATATACGTTGCATGTCTAATTGGCAAAGAATGTTTGCCATATATGTGTACACTGTAATCCGCCCTGAGTCCCCTGCGGGGTGAGAAGGGCGGAATATAAATACTGTAAATAAATAAATAATTTTTGGCCTGCATCGATCGGAGTCTAGTGCAGGGGTCCTCAAACTTTGTAAACAGAGGGCCAGGTCACAGTCCCTCAAACTGTTGGAGGGCCGGATTATAATTTGAAAAAAAAATTAATGAATTCCTATGCACACTACACATATCTTATTTGTAGTGCAAAACCCACTTTAAAACAATACAATAATTAAAATGAAGTAACAGTTTTAACAAATATAAATATTAGTATTTCAACGGGAAGTGTGGGCCTGCTTTTGGCTGCTATTTTTTAATTTTTAAATTATTGCATTTGGCCCAGCCATAGGTTTTTAATGCTTGTTATTGTTACTGTTTATTTTTTACTTTTGTTTAAGAGATTTATTTTAACTGTTGTATTGATTGTTTTCTTACTACTTTTACTGTTGATGCACTTTGGGCTCAGACTCATGTAAGCCGCACTCATGTAAGCCGCTACCATCTCCCTTGGGGAGATGGTAGCGGGGTGTAAATAAAGTTGTTGTTGTTGTTGTTCTTATTATTATTTGGCTGATGAGATAAGATAGTTGTTGTTGTCGTTTCAGACTTAGGTTGATCCTGAGCGAGGGCTGGGTAAATGACCTTGGAGGGCCATATCCAGCCCCCAGGCCTTAGTTTGAGGACCCCTGGTCTAGTGCCTAGCTCCAGGGAAGTCATGCTGCCCATGCTCTATTCTGCCTTGGTCAGACCACACCTGGAATCACATTGTGTCCCATTCTGGGCACTGCAACTGAAGGGAGATGCTGACTTAAGCTGGAATGTGTCCAGAGGAGGGTGACTAAAATGATCAAGGGTCTGGAGAACCAGCCCTATAAGGAGTGGCTTAAAGAGCTGGCCATGTATAGTTTGCAGAAGAGAAGGCTGAGAGGAATATGTATAAATATGTGAGGGGAAGTCATAGGAAGGAGGAAGCAGGCTTGTTTTTTGTTGCCCTGGAGTCTAGGACACGGAACAATGGCTTCAAACTACAGGAAAGGAGATTCCACCTGAATATGAGGAAGAACTTCCTGACTGTGAGAGGTGTTCAGCAGTGGAACTCACTGTGGTGGAGGCTCCTTCTTTGGAGGCTTTGAAACAGAGGCTGGATGGCCATCTGTCGGGGGTGCTCTGAATGCAATTTTCCTGCTTCTTGGCAGAATGGAGTTGGACTGGATGATGGTCCACCACGTCTCTTCCAACTCTAGGATTCTATGATTCTTGGTTGAGGTCCTGATGTCTACCTGCCTTTCCTCTGTGGCCATTTGTCCAGGATGCCAAATCTGCATACCTGTTGTTGTTGTTGATGCTGCTGTCTTCCAGTTCAGGAGTCCAAGTGGTTTACAGGAGTTAGAACAAAGATAGCTAACACTCGCAAGCCTTTTCCCCTTTGGGTGTTTTGCAACATGGGGATAAGACTGAAGAGTGGCCAACAGCACAGGACTTTGTCTCATGTTGAGTGTGGCCACTGGTCCACTGGTCCACTGAGGCCAATATTGCCACCACTGACTGGCAGCAATGGCTTCTTGCTCCTGGGAAACAGCCAGAGTCCTGCCAGCTCTACCTCAGTCTGCATGCAAAGGAGGGAGCTTGCCACATGGCTACTGGAAGCCCACAGCCACTTGCCACTGGAAGCCCCCAAGGGTTACAGCGAGAGGGAGGCAAGGGAGAGACGGTCTACCCATTAAGACAACCCAGGTGTTGTGGGAATAACAGCCATGCAAGGGGGAGACATGCATGCGCACGACGGAGGCAGCAAAGCCATGAGCCCAGCCATGTTCAGAACGGTTTCATGCGCATACGGGTCTCTTTCAGTAAAATAGAATAAAACAGGCACCACCTTTTTAGGTTTCACTCCACGCTGCATGGAAAGAGGACAAAGGTTAGAAGGTTAGACAGAAAGCGGATTCTGGGAAAGCAGACCGGGACCAGCCAGCAGCACGGCTGCTGCTAAAGAGATGGAAAGACAGCAAAGAGTATTTCCCAGGCCCAGCTGGGCAGCCCTCCCACCCAACAACCCTGGACCACCCTCTAAGTCCCCCACAGTTGCACCGGAACATGAGAAAGGAGGATGTTTGCAGATGGCCACCCAGCCCTCCTTCTTGGCAGAAAGGGGTTGGACTGGATGACCAAAAAGGTTCTTCCAACCCGTCATATGGACCTCCCCTCACACACATGTCCAAAACCAAGCAAACTCTATGATTCTATGATTCTAGGGACCTGTTGTTTGGACCTTCCCCCACCTACATGCCCAAAACCGAACACTTTATATTTACAGGAGCGTTTTCAATATATGAAAGTATATGATACAGCTTTGTAAGAAAAAAAAGCTTAAATCAAACAATGGAACACCAGAGAAACCAGTCCTTCAAAACAGAGCTCCACAAATATTCTTGAACCCAGCTCATCTTGTGCAGCATAGATCCAAAAGCCAACATGTAGGACAGCAAGAGGGCATAAGGAGACAGATATTATTATTGTTATTATCATTATTATTACTAGCTGTCCCCTGCCAGGCGTTGCTGTGGCCCAGTCTGTTGATCTGGGAAATAAAGTAATGAGAAAGTGTTGGTTTCTAATATATATAATTTCTTTATGCTTGTGGGAAAACAGCATTTCTTGTTGTTTCTTTGTCAGTGTTGATGTGGAGAGTGTCTGGTTTGCCCACCCTGGAACATGCAACATATCATTGTCCTTCTTTAAGGGTCCCTTTCAAATCTAGGACACTATATCTCTGTGTGTGTGAATCATATCTATCTACATCTATGGCTGGATGGCTCTTTGTCAGGGGGGCTTTGATTACGTTTTCTTGCTCTGATGAAGGGAGTTGGACTGGATGGCCTTAAGTATTTTCTGTTGGTCATGGGGGTTTTGAGTGGGAAGTTTGCCCCAATTCTGTCATTCGTGGGTTCAGAATGCTCTTTGATTGTAGGTGAACTATGAATCCCAGTGACTACAACTCCCAAATGTCAAGGTTTATTTCCCCCAAACTCCATCTGTGTTCATATTTGGGTGAATTGAGTGCTTGTGCCAAGTTTGGTCCAGATCCATCATTGTTTGAGTCCACAGTGCTCTCTGGATGTAGGTGAACTACAACTCCAAAACTTAAGGTCAATATCCACCAAACCCTTCCAATATTTTCTGTTGGTCATGGGAGTTCTGTGTGCCAAGTTTGGTTCAATTCCATCATTAATGGAGTTCAGAATGCTCTTTGATTGTAGGTGAACTATAAATCCCAGCAACTACAACTCCCAAATGACAAAATCATAATTTTTGGAGTGATGGTCACTCCTTGTGTTGTGAGATGTTTTGTTGCCAAATTTGGTGGGATTTCATTCATTGGTTCTTTTGTTTTTAAGGTACTCATTATGCACAGAGCATTTATATAAATAGATATAGATATAGATAGATTATCATCATTATCATTTATTTATCTGGAATACTGTGTCCAATTCTGGGCACCACAATTGAAGGGAGATATTGACTCTAAGCTGGAATGTGTCCAGAGGAGGGCGACTAAAATGAGCAAGGGTCTGGAGAACAAGCCCTATGAGGAGCAGCTTAAGGAGCTGGGCATGTTTAGCCTGAAGAAGAGAAGGATGAGAGGAGACATGATAGCCATGTATAAGTATGTGAAAGGAAGTCACAGGGAGGAGGGAGCAAGATTGCTTTCTGCTGCCCTGGAGACTAGGACGCAAAGGGGGAATGCCTTCAAACTACATGAAAGAAGATTCCACCTGAACATTAGGAAGAACTTCCTGACTGTGAGAGCTGTTCAGCAGTGGAACTCTCTGCCTCGGAGTGTGGTGGAGGCTCCTTCTTTGGAAGCTTTTAAACAGAGGCTGGATGGCCATCTGTCAGGGGTGATTTAAATGCAATATCCCTGCTTCTTGGCAGAATGGGGTTGTACTGGATGAATATAGGATTCTATTATTCTAAAGCATTTATATCCTACCCTTCTCACACCGAGGGGGAACTCAGGGCGGACCACAACATATATATGGTAAACATCCAATGCTGGAACATAAACTATAAATATACACAAACACTAAAATCAATTGATCTCCACTTTAAAATCAATTGCTTAAGACCATCTCCAATCAGCCATACCAGATCCGGTCAGCAGGGTAGAGTTTCCTATTGTTGCCTTATTGCTTGTTCCCACAGCCAAGTTTTTATCATCAGAATATAAATACTGTAAATAAATAAATAAATTTCTGAAGGACAGGAGGGAGGGGGCTAATCTAATCTCGCCAGGGACGGTGAGCAATCACTGAGAAGGCCCTCTCTCTTGTTCCCACCAGTCACACCTGTGACGGTGGTGGGACCGAGAGCAGGGCGTCCCTGGAAGATCTTTTTTATTATTATTATTATTTATAATTTTTTCCTTTAACAGTGAAAGAGGGGGAACAACCATCCAGATAGAAAGGTTGGAAAGGATAGAGGCAAATAAGTCAGGTAATGTGTAAGGGGAAGGAAGGTGGATAGGGAGTGAGGGGAGGGGTGGAGTTCAGGAAGTTATAGAGGGTCAGGGGAGCGGGGGGGATAAATGTGGGTACTTGATCTTCCGTTCAGTCCGCAGAGAGATGGTCATCATATTGTATAATTCTTCTTATGTTTGCTATATCCACAGTTAATAGTTGATCTTTTTTCATAGCACCTTAAATATCCAATTTAATTCTTTCTCTAAAGTAATCTCCTAGAGGTTTCCAATTTATCTGTTTTTCTTTATTCTGTTCTTCTAATATGTACGAAAGCTTGTCTAAGTCTCTAAATTCCATTATTTTTTTGATCCATTCTTCGTTGGTTGGAATTTCCTTGTTTTTCCATTTTTGTGCGATTAGTATTCTTGCCACAGCGGATAAGTAAAGAAAAAAAATTCTTCATTTTTATTTAAGTCTAAATCCATTATATTCAGCAAATAATATTCAGGTTTCATATCAAATTTTATCTAAATTATATTTTGTGTGTGCTTATGTACCTGCAACCAATTTTTTTTAGTCTTCTTGCATTCCCAAAATAGATGATAGTAAGTTCCGATCTCCTTTCCACATTTCCAACAAGCTCCATCACAATTTTTGTTAAATTTGGAGAGCTGCACGGGTGTTAAGTGCCATCGATAAAATATTTTATGCTAATTTTCTATTATATTAATAGCTCTTGTATATTTTAACTTGACTTTCCAAACCTGTTCCCAATCTTTTAGAAGTATAGAGTGGCCTATGTTTCTGGCCCACTTAATCATGTTTTCTTTTACGAGTTCTTTCTCGGTATTCCATTCTAGCAAGTTCTGGCATAATATTTTTATCATTTTTTTCCCCCTTTTTCATTATAATATCCCAGCAAGTGTCTTTTTCGTTAAAGCCTATTTTCTGGCCCACCTTAAAACATTCCTTTATTTGTTGATAATGGAACCAACCTATTCCTTTATCCTCCCCTTTCAGTTCTTCCATGGACCTCAGTCCCCATTCATTATTGGTCTTTACAAGTAATTGTCTGTAGTTAAGCCATCTATTTCTCGGGATCTCTCTCTTATGGTATGTCCCTGGAAGATCTTAATCTCCGTGGTACCCCCACTGTGGTAGCCCCACTGCCACCAATCTGGCAACCAATCCCAGGGACATTTGCTGCTGGATGACCGTAGGCTAAAAGTCTCAACAAGAGGCCACCAACACCCTTGCTGTAGCCATGTTTATGTTCCAGTAAGCTCCATTATAAGTCCAAGTGAGATGCTCCCATGCAAAGGGTGGGGTTAAAGGATGGGGGAGTGGGGTGGGGTGTCAGTCTTTCTGCTAAATGAACAGCTTTGTCCCACAGCCACAACATTCAACTGGGTTGTCGGGACCCCTTTCAAAAGGGAGGGCTCTCCCCATGGCTGAAGCTTCCGATTCCAACTGAAATTAGAGCAAAACAGACCCAAGTGCACTTAGAGACATCCCAAACAGCTGAGGAATAAAAAGCACTGGGGTGTTGTAGGTTTTTTTCGGGCTATATGGCCATGTTCTAGAGCAGGGGTCCTCAAACTTTTTAAACAGAGGGCCAGGTCACAGTCCTTCAAACTGTTGGAGGGCCGGATTATAATGTGAAAACAACATGAATGAATTCTTATGCACACTGCACACATCTTATCTGTAGTGCAAAACACTTTAAAACATACAATAATTAAAATGAAGAACAACTTTAACAAATATAAACTTATTAATATTTTAGTGGGAAGAGTGGGCCTACTGCTGCTGCTGCTGCTGTTGTTGTTGTTGTTGTTGTTGTTGTGTGCTTTCAAGATGTTTCAGACTTAGGTTGACCCTGAGTGAGGGTTGGATAAATGACCTTGGAGGACCCCTGGTCTAGAGGCATTATCTCCTGACATTTRGCCTGCATCTATGGCAAGCATCTTCAGAGGTAGTGAGGATGCTTACCATAGATGCAGGCGAAACGTCAGGAGAGAATGCCTCTAGAACATAGCCATATAGCCCGAAAAAACCTACAACACCCCAGTGATTCCAGGCATGAAAGCCTTCAACAATACAATAACAAACAAAGCTAGGCAGTGATTTCAAGATGGCCTCCCCGTGAGTGGTCTTAGAGGTTACTGGTATGCATGTGACCCCATAAACTGGGTAAAAAGGATGCAAGTGTCATGACGCAGTATTCTTCCGAGGGTTAAAGAGGCGTCCTCCCCAAGGACTGTCTCTAGATCTCCTTCAGATACCCAAAGTATTTTCGGCAACGGCTCTCTCCAAGATCTCCTTGTCTCTGCTGACATCTAGCGGAGCAAAAGTTACTTTGGGTTGTTGTAGGTTTTTCCGGGCTATATGGCCATGTTCTAGAGCCATGATGGCGAGCCTATGACACGTGTGTCAGCACTGACACGCATAGCCATTTTTGATGACACGTGGCCACATGCAGCCACATACACAGAAGAATGGGGCTGCATCCTGAGAAAGACATTTTATCCTCAGCTCCTGCACCAGCATTTTTCTATAATGCCGAGATATATGACATTATAGAAAAAAGCAGGTAAGTTAAATAATTAGTTTTTGGTTTATTAAATACAGTTATATATTACAATAATATATTTTTATTATATTGGTTTTTTTCTCGAAGTGACACCCGACCTGAGTTAAGCTCAGTTTTTGGGCGAGTTTTGACACACCAAGCTCAAAAAGGTTGCCCATCACTGTTCTAGAGGCATTCTCTCCTGACATTTCGCCTGCATCTATGGCAAGCATCCTCAGAGGTTGTGAGGTCTGTTGGAACTAGGCAAATTGGGTTCCTTGATTCGTGTTTGGGCATTGGAACCTGAAAGGCACTGCAGACTACTTCAACCCGAGAAGCCAGCCATAGCGGAGCACCTGATGAACCAACCTGGACACAGCATATTATTTGAGAACACAGAAATGCTGGACCACTCTCACAACCATCACGTTGGGCTACACAGAGAAGCCATTGAAATCCATAAGCATGTGGACAATTTCAACAGAAAGGAGGAAACCATGAAAATGAACAACAGCTGACTACCAGTATTAAAAAAAACTCTAAAATTACAACAGCAAAACAACAGAGAGGAAACAATCTGGGACATCTAATCACCTCTGAACAAAAGATTGCCCCAGGCACTAACAAGCCACACCAAAAAACTGTCAGGCCATCAAATGCTAATCAAGGTGGTCAGTTGAAACATTCACACCTAGCTCCAACAGACAAGAGTTCTTTGTCCCAGCCTGGTCATTCCACAGACATATAAACATATGAATGCATAACGATATAAAATTACAGCAAACACAATTACAGTGACAATGGGCAGGCTACATGTAATGATTAAAAGAAAAACTAATTAAAAACTGATTAAAAACTCGGGTGAGATAAAGGAGAAGCAGGTTATTTGCGGAGGGGGAGCTCATTAAAACGCGGGGGTTGTGGAATCAAACTTTCCCACAAGGGGGGGGGGGACGTAGACGCCAATGACAACTCAACAGGTGGGACTCCATGGCCCTGCCTTGGAGATGGAATTCCACCTAATTCCTTGATGGCGCAAGGCATTTTCACCCATTGCTTGGAACAGGTTTGGAACACCCAGGAAAATAGCACCTACAAGAAGCATGCAGTCTACTATTGTTGCTACACGCTGCGGAAACACAGCCTGGAAAAGCACCTGATAAACATTCTGTGGCCTAAAGGACGAAGAGGCAGACCCACCAGGTGAAAGCCAGGAAGGCTGATGATATTTCTGCATGCTGATTATTTAGCCACATGCCCTGTTCTTAGATTTTCAAATTCTTGCTAAAGGAGGGCAAAAACCTGCTGTACAACCAGATTCCTCCATCACCAGCACAGTCCCTCTGCAGTGAGAAATATAGCGATTCAGCTCCACAATATCTCGTGCCAACTCTGCAGAAAAACTCATCGACATCAAACCATAAGAAACACATGGGTGCAAAGAATCAGTTGTGAGACTCAAAGGAAAATACTCACCAGTTTGCTGGTTTTGGGACCCTCTGAAGAATCTAGAAGAGGGATAGGGAAAAAAGATTATTCAGAAATCCAAGCTTAAAACAGAGGCAGTCTGCACTGTGCCCCAGATGTAAAGGAGCACTGTGGCACTGGAAGGTAAGAAGATGCACTGGAGGAAAGAGAGGAGCTCTCACTCCGCTGGTGCCCTTCTCTATTATTATTATTATTATTATTATTATTATTATTATTATTATTATCTTTATTTATACCCCTCTAACATCTCCCGAAGGACTCGGTGCAGCTTACAAGAGGCCAAGGCCCAACAAATCAATAAAACAACAGCATAACAAATACAACAATAAATAAACTCATAAAGCAAAGCAATAAACATTAAAACAATAACAATAAGCATTAGAGAATAACACCACAATGCATTTAAAAACTAAGGGATGAACCTGAAGATGGAGAGAGGGGCCAGTGGGAGGAAAGCATCTGGACACCCCTTACCTCTCTTGGGGACCTTTGAAGTGGAAGATTCTGGTGTTTCCGGGGATGTTGTATCTGCGCCATCATCAAAAACCTGGATCTGCAAAAGGATGAACACAGAAATTGCACATGGAAGCAAAAAAGACGTCTTGCTTGAGGCTTCACTTGATTTATTTTATTTATTTATTTACAACATTTCTATGTGTCCAATTCTGGGCACCACAATTCAAGAGAGATATTGACAAGCTGGAATGTGTCCAGAGGAGGGCGACTAAAATGATCAAGGGTCTGGAGAACAAGCCCTATGAGGAGCGGCTTAAGGAGCTGAGCATGTTTTGCCTGAAGAAGAGAAGACTGAGAGGAGATATGATAGCCATGGATAAATATGTGAGAGAAAGCCACAGGGAGGAGGGAGCAAGCTTGTTTACTGCTTCCTTGGAGACTAGGACGCAATGGAACAATGGCTTCAAACTACAAGAGAGGAGATTCCATCTGAACATGAGGAAGAACTTCCTGACTGTGAGAGCCATTCAGCAGTGGAACTCTCTGCCCCGGAGTGTGGTGGAGGCTCCTTCTTTGGAAGCTTTTAAACAGAGGCTGGATGGCCATCTGTCAGGGGTGCTTTGAATGCAATATTCCTGCTTCTTGGCAGAATGGGGTTGGACTGGATGGCCCATGAGGTCTCTTCCAACTCTTGGATTCTAGGATTCTAGGATTCTATGCCTCCCTTCTCACCCCGAAGGGCACTCAGAGCGGCTTACAAGATATACCATATATATTCCAGTATAAGCTGACCCGAATATAAGCCAAGGCATCTAATTTTACCACAATAAACTGGAAAAATGTATTAACTCACGTATAAGCTGAGGGTGGGAAATGCAAAATAAAAATAGATACCAATAAAATTACATTAATTGAGGCTTCAGTAGGTTATTTTGGATATTTACATAAAACCGTAATTTAAGACTGTCCAATTCCAATTAAACCATCATATTTATTTATTTATTTGCTTGCTGGAAGCAGGAGCGCCACTCCAGCCTATGGTGGTAATGATAATGATAATGATAATATTAATAATAATATATTTGTAATTTAGCTCCTCAAAAGGACTGCGCCCGTATCTTGGGAGGTCGGACTTGGCCACGGTAGTCCACGCTCTTGTCACATCCCGTATAGATTACTGCAACGCGCTCTACGTGGGGTTGCCCTTAAGACTGCCCGGAAGCTTCAGATGGTCCAGCGCTCGGCAGCCAGGTTGTTAACGGGAGCAGCACTCAGGGAGCATACCACCCCCACTGGTTGCCAATCTGCTACCGGGCACAATTCAAGGTGCTGCCTTTAAAGCCCTAAACGGTTCCGGCCCCACTTACCTCTCCGAACGCATCTCCACCTATGAACCGGCAAGAGCGTTAAGATCGTCCGGGGAGGCCCTGCTCTCGGTCCCGCCAGGCGTCACAAGTGCGGCTGGCGGGCACGAGAGACAGGGCCTTCTCGGTAGTGGCCCCTCGGCTATGGAATGCGTTACCAGGGGACATCAGGCAGGCCCCTTCGTTGCTGGTGTTTCGAAGGAGGGTTAAGACGTGGCTCTATGAGCAGGCATTCGGTTAGCTATGCAGTAACAACCACCCAATAATGACGGCATTGAACAAGGATTGAATTAAGGACTATGAGAACGGGATCTGATTCTAAGTAGGCGTCGATGATTATGTGTATTGTTTGTGGATGTGCGTCTTATATATTGTTCACTGTTTATTTTTACTGTAAACCGCATTGAGTCGCCGCTCCAGGCTGATAAATGCGGTATACAAATGGAGTAAATAAAATAAATAAATAAATAATAAATAAGGCAAAATATTCAATTGCCATAGACAGATATTTTTTGAAAAAATCATAAAACACAAAACTCCTGCTAAAACACAACAATAAAATTTTAAATCGCAATTACAAACCCATCAGATGAGGTTCAACAAAACCTATGGCCAGGACTACAGAAAATGGGCATGACAACTATAGAAGGGCTGGGCAAGGGATAGTGCAACAGGTAGGAACTTTCTAAGCCTGGAAGCAGCCACCAAGAAGGTCCTGTCTCCCCAGTTACGCCTGGGAAAGCAGCTGGTCTCCCTGCAAAGGTCTTACAGCTTGGGAAGCAGAACACAAAGCCAAAGATTGCTTATTCCACCCTGCTACAGAGTTAGCAGTAAATGGGCAGACTGCGCAGTCCCTCTGCTTGTATCCAACAGGCCAGGATACCTGACTCACCGCATCATGTGAATTCATCCTTTGCCTCCCTGCTTTCCATACATATGCACTGAGAAGGGCTCTGTGTTGGAGAAAATTGCCCAGCCCCATTCACAGGTGGGTCCCCAAGCAGAAGCTTACCTGTGACTGTCGCACAAAGATGCCATGGTTCTCCTCGCAGGTGAAGTACCTCCTGCCCTGCACCGTGCCATCATTCTTGCCCTTTGGTTCATCCAGAATGACACCAACCCACTTCCCCGTGGCAAAGAGCGTGGCCCCCACGTATGCCACAGTCCCGCGGTGCCCCTTCCCGATGACCTCCACTCGGGAGCCCACTTTCAGGGGCTTGCCGCTTGCCTCCACGGAACTCATCCTGCCGCTGGCACTGGAAGCCTGGAGGGGAGACACAAAAGAGAGCATCAGCCGGGCGCCCCAGCCAACTGCAGAAAAACCCTTCCAGCTTTACTTTCCTCTTTCTACATCTCCTCCTGTGCTATGGTTCATGTACACAGTTGTGACAGCTTTGCTGAAAAGAAACAAGTCCCAGTAAGAGCCTCCTATATGCTTCTGGGACATTTTGCATCTATTAGTCTTGAATCTATTGGGTGATTCAAGTGTTTCAAATTGTAAGAAAGAGACCCCACTTCAATATCAGAAAGGACAGTAAGAACCTGCAAGGAGTGCAACTCTTTCACTGGAATGTTTTTTTAATTATTTTTATTTTATTTAAGTGGACATACATTTGCAAGTGTTTGTTGCATACAGTGCAATACTTTCAATCTATTAATATTCTATAATCATTTATCTGATAATAAATTTCCATTAAGGGGTCACAGTCTACTAAATAATACATATAAAGATTTCATAGACTCTTACTTTACACCCGTTTCTTCCTTGTCTACAATCTTATAGGATTCTCTATATACGTTTTTAGTTTCATTTTACATTAAGATGTCGAATCATTGGTTGCCATTCATTAACAAAGTTATCTAATAGTTCTCCTCTCAATAATACAGTTATTTTGTCCATTATCAGGATATCTATAATATATTTTTCCCATTCTTCTAAAGGAGGCATCTCTGGGTTTTCCAATATCTAGCATATACTATTCGGGCTGCCACTGTTGAGTAAAACAAATTTTTTCCAGATTTTCTTTCTAGTTCTTCCTCAGGCATATTCAAAAAGTACATTTGAGGTGTCATTTTGAAATCTGTGTTTAACATTTTTTCAAGATATACATGGATCTGTTTCCAGTAATGTTTAGCTTTGCTGCAAGTCCACCATGTTTGGTAAAATGTACCTTTTTCTTTCCCACATTTCCAACATTTGTTGGAGCAATTATACATCTCAGCTAGTCTCTCTGGAGAGAGATACCATCGTAGATGCATTTTATAAACATTTTCCTTTAGGTTTTGACATGCAGTGTATTTCATTCCTTCTCTTCCATGTCTTTTCCCACTGGGACATTTTTATCTCTTGGCCTATATTTTGGGTCCATCTAACCATAGAATCTTTTACTATTTCCTCTTCCGTGTGCCAAGTCAGTAACTCTTTCACTGGAATGTTTTAAACAGAGGCTAGATGGACACACACACACCAAAGAGCGCTGTATGGCAGAATGGGGCTGAACCAGATGACCTTTGGGACCTCTTACAACCTCACAATTCATCCCCCATCCCAAGTGCTTCCTTCTTAACAAAGTCCATCACAATTCCTATCCTCCTCCAGCAGAAGAGGCCTCGATCAAAGCTCTGCAGCACAGCTCCCTTTTTTCCAAGGATCTAGCAACGTGGCCAGCCTTCAAACTAGGCCAACACCATCGATTTGCATGGCCTCCCCCTGCCTTCTCTGTTCGTCTTGCCTCTCCAGGTTAGCAGGTTGAATCTGGGACACCAGGCAGGCTGAGAGGTTGAACTTGACAAGTACCTGGATTTCATATAATTCAAGCCCAGCGAGAAGTACAATTTCCACCCCAATAACGACAAACATTCTTCTGGAAATGAGAAAACCAGAAAGGCATAGGCAAGGGCAGAGAGAATCACTACAGGGCTGGTCCTGAATATCCCACTAGAGCAGTGTTTCTCAACTTGGGGGTCGGGACCCCTGGAGTGGTCGTGAGGGGGTATCAGAGGGGTCACCAAAGACCACCAGGAAACACAGTATTTTCTGTTGGTCATGGAGGTTCTACATGGGAAGTTTGGCCCAATTCAATCATTGGTAGGGTTCAGAATGCTCTTTGATTGTAGGTGAACTATAAATCCCAGCAACTACAACTCCCAAATGTCAAGGTCTATTTTCCCCAAACTCCACCAGTGTTCATATTCAGGCATATTGAGAATTCGTACCAAGTTTGGTCCAGATCCATCACTATTTGAGTCCACAGTGCTCTCTGGGTGTAGGTGAACTACAACACTCGTCAATGCCCACCAAACCCTTCCAGTATTTTCTTTTGGTCATGGCAGTTCTGTGTGCCACGTTTGATTCAATTCCATCGTTGGTGGAGTTCAGAATGCTCTTTGATTGTAGGTGAACTATAAATCCCAGCAACTACAACTCCCAAATGTCAAGGTCTATTTTCCCCAAACTCCTCCAGTGTTCACATTTGGGCACATGGAGTATTGATGGCAAGTTTGGTCCAGAGCCATCATTGTTTGAGTCCTCAGTGCTCTCTGGATATAGGTGAACTACAACTCCAAAACTCAAGGTCAATGCCCATCAAACCCTTCCAGTATTTTCTGTTGGTCATGGGAGTTCTGTGTGCCAAGTTTGATTCAATTCCATCGTTGGTGGAGTTCGGAATGCTCTTTGATTGTAGGTGAACTATAAATCCCAGCAATTACAACTCCCACAGGACAAAATCAATACCCTCCCCCAATCCCACCAGTATTCAAATTTGGGTGTATTGGGTATTTGTGCCGAATTTGGTCCAGTGTATGAAAATCCATCCTGCATATCAGATATTTACATTACTATTCATAACAGCAGCAAAATGACAGTTATGAAGTAGCAATGGAACTAATTTTATGGTTGGGGATCACCATAATATGAGGAAGCGTATGAAGGGGTCGTGGCATTAGGATGGTTGAGAACCACTGCATTAGAGAGCTTCACAAAATGACCCAAGGTGCGTGTTGAGTGAGGGGCAGCCGTGTCGGTTTGTCACAGAAGAAACAAGAGAGCCCCTGGGATACCTGAGAAGCGAACAGATCTACCATAACGTGAGCTTTAGTGCAATGTGGTATCCAAGCAGCTCAGGAACACTTGTCAGTCACTCTTCCCCTCCAGAGCAGAAAACCCACAGCATTCAATGGGGCAGCAGTAAGATGATCCTTCATCTTCTCACAATTCACCTCTTCCCCGGCCCATATTTTGACACTGTCAGTCACAGTACTGCCCAGACATAAAGCCACAATATCAAGGTTTGGGTCCATGTCACACTCAGCCTTGACCTGGAATAATCCTACGTCCATTTCGGGGCAAAGCAATTCAAAGAGAATACTGGCCAAAAGTGGAACGTGTCCAAAAAATATCAACCAAAATAGTCCAAAGTTTGGAAACCCTGTCTCCCTCGGAGGAGCATCTTAGGGAGCTGGGGATGTTTTGCTTGGAGAAAGGAGGGCCGAGAAGAGAACACGAGAGCCATATTTAAATATTGGAAAGGGTGTCACAACTGCAGAGAGGGAAAGCTTGTTTTCTGCTGCTCCAGAGATAAAGACACAATGGAAGCCATGGATTCAAAATGCAGGAAAAGAGACAGGGTATGGGGCTGCTACATCGAAAAGCTGTTTGCTGGCAAGATGGCACAGTCCACCTGCGAAGGAAGGAGGGGCCATTCACCTGACATCAGCAACCCCTCCACACGATCAAAGCATGAGCAAGCGAGAAGTAGCATTCTAAGAAAAGAACCTCTTCCTACATCATTATTTTTAAAGAGGAACGTGGGAGAAAAGATTAACACCAGTTGGACATTTTGGAAAATATCATGCACGCTGTGGCTCTTTAGCTGGTAAAAATGCAGGTTAGAAGCTGATCAAAAAACACAGCAATGCAGGTGCCCTGAAAAATGCTTACTCTGGTGCTCTGGGTCTCTGAATTCAGAGCTTCAAAGACAGAAAAGGCCCGTTTTAAAATCAATAAGTAATTTCCCCAAGCGGCTAATTGCAGGCAGCCGGCCCATGCCTCTCAATTGGGGGGGGGGGGGGGGGGGGGTAAGGTTTGCACACCAGCCACAGAATCCCATGTCTCCCACATTCTCAAAAGCCAACCTTCCTGCCAGAAAGTCAGGATTTAAAACAGGATTTCGTAAACATTTTCCACTCACAACACCTTTTTCTCCCAAAATGTGTACATGACCCCTGGTATATAAAATAGGTATAATATATCAGGGTGATTTTCCTTCCTCTGGAGTACAGCTGAAGCATTTTCTGCAGAGACCAATGTAAACACTGCACACTGCTGCTAATAAATTGGTGCAAATGGGTGGTGTTCGGAAACCTCTTCCTGTTGCCATATTTTTGTGACCCCAAAATTGAGATTAAGGTGACCCCATTTGCGATGAAGACCGACAGGTCACAGGGTCGAATCCGGGGAGAGTGCGGGTGAGCTCCCTCAGTCAGCTCTAGCTCCCCATGAAGGGACATAAGAGAAGCCTCCAACGAGGATGGGAAAACATCAAAACATCAAAACATCCGGGCAATGTCCCCTGGGCAACATCCTTGCAGATGGACAATTCTCTCACACCAGAAACGACTTGCAGTTTCTCAAGTTGCTCCTGACAAAGAAAAAAAATGAGGTGTCGAGGTCCTCAATTTAAGAAGTGGTTCTTTAAAAAATTCTGCCAAGCAACTTCTAAAGCAGCCTTTTTTGACCAGGGACCACTCTCCAACATTAGTACCAAAAGGGTTACAAGTCAGTTTTTGGTCAACTTTAAATTTGGTTTCATTATTTGGGGTGCTGATTCAGAAAATTGCATTGGCTAGACCAAATCAGTTCTAGTTTTCTAGTTTAGAGGGTTAAGATCCTTCGGGGAGGCCCTGCTTTCCGTCCTGTCACAGGCACGATTGGTGGGGATGAGAGACAGGGCCTTCTCGGTTATTGCTCCCCGGCTATGGAACTCCCTTCCTGGAGAGATCAGGTCAGTCCTCTCCCTCCTGTCCTTTAGAAGGAGGGTAAAAACTTGGCTGTGGGACCAAGCTTTTGGGGCTTGACAAATGCAAAGCTGGGGTGAAAATTGCTGGAAGAAACATTAACAACCTTAGGTATGCAGATGATACCACTTTGATGGCCGAAAGCGAGGAGGAGCTGAGGAGCCTTCTAATCAAGGTGAAAGAAGAAAGCGCAAAACCTGGGTTGCAGTTAAACATTAAAAAACCCAAGATTATGGCAACAAGAAT